TCTCTCTCTTTCTCTCTTGCTTTATTTTTTTTAGGCGAGGCGACCCTTGGTGGACCTCACAGATTGCAAGGACCTTGTCAGCTTGCAGTCCCTTATTTTTTAATTTTTTATGCCTGCAGCACCCGGTCTTCCTAGGTGGTCTCCCATCCAAGGACTCACCAGGCCCGACCCTGCTGAGCTTCTGAGATCAGACGGGATCAGACGTGTTCGGGGTGGCGTGGCCTTAGACTCATCATTTTTTAATGACATTTTCTTTTCCCTAGCCGACGCCATTGTCAGAACACACTATGTCATACGTGTAACATGCGAAATCTGTGTGCACCCACGGGGCACGCGATCGGTGAGGTCCGGTCAGCGGCCGGCTGCTGGCACTTGCATTCCGGGGGAGTCGCAGCCATATGCAGGTTTTCGAGCACACGGGGGCATGCGCCCCAACCCCGCAAGGTTCAAGGGGCGAACGGACTGTGAGGTCTCGGAGGGTCCCCCGCGGTGTGGCACCGACCTGCCTGCCTTCTCGTGGCCGAAGAAATGTGATGCTGAGCGGAGGAGCAGACGTGAACGGCCGCGAAGCGCGAGGTCGATTTCTGCGCCGCGTCCGCGCCGGGCAGAGCCGCACAGGCAGGAAGCAGAGTGGCGGGGGCGCGGGCTGGGGGGCCGTCTCCTTCCCCGTGAGAACGTGCTGGGGTTCCACGCCGATGACGATCACGCACCACTGAGAAGGCGCTCGCTGCCCCCGAGTTGTGCGGTTTAAATGGCGAATCTTTCGCTATGTGAATGTTAGTGCAATTGGAAAAACAAGGCCATGTGGACTTAGATGTTACCTTTTGAAGGCGCCGGGGTCGGTGCGTTGCATGGGGTCGATGGCACTGGCGAGCAGTCTGTGGCGGGACACGGGCCTCTGGAAGAGCCGTCAGTCCCGTTCCCCGTGTGGGGTCCGGTGGGGGAGGGCTCCGTGCACCAGTGTGCATGGGGCCGATGGGCGCAGAGCCGCCGGGGTGCTTCACGGGGTGAGGGTGGTCAGCGGGGTTCCCGCGGGCTTTTTCAGTGCTGCTGTTTGGGGAACATGCAGCTTCACCTTCCGGTGGCCCGGAGATGCCCAGAGACGGACAGCGACTGAACCCAGGTGCCCCAGGGCGTCACACGCCGATGGCATTTTGAGTTCCTCGTGACAGCTATGACAAGACGCACAGATACCCGCAGCTTCTCCTGGTCACGCAGGAAATTGAATGCAGCCTGGCTGTGCCTGCGTCACGGTCGAAGGGGGCGCTCAGACTCAGGCAGAGGCCACTGCGAACGGAAGCCCATCGCCCCCAGAGCTACCAGAGGCCCCGCCAGGTCCCAGAAGCCACTTCAGAGGCTTCCCTCGGCATCCCTCCGCAGAGAACCCAGCAGCACGTTGCCTTCCCCTGGCTTGTCTGTCCTCCTGTGATGTCCCCACCCAGCTGGGCAGCTTGCTGTCCGTTCAGCGCTGCCGGCCCTTCACGCGATGCTGACGCGTGGCTTATCAAGCTTGGGGGGAGGATAACATTGGGACACATTGATCACACGACACCGTGTCCTTGACTTGTCGCCAAACAGGACCAGAGCTAAGACGTTAATGGAGTGAAACCTCATACGCCCTTAAAAGAACGAAGGTTCCCGAAATCTCGGGAGCAGGAAT